GGCGAATTCGCCAGGGCCGCCCCTCGCGCGGCGCGTCGGGCCGGCCCCTGGCGCAAGATGCCCTGCCCCATCGAAGGCGGACCCGCGCCCCGAGCGAGCGGCGGGCCCGACCCGCTAAACAACGGCGCCGCCCACGCGCCGCGGCCCGCGGCCGCCGCGCGCGCGGGGCCGTCGCGGGCCGGGGCCGCCCTGGGCGGCGGCCCCATCGCCCTCGCGGGCGCGGCCCACATCGGCAACTAAAATGAACGCGGGGGCGCGGCGCGCAGCGGCCCCACCCCCCGCCGCGCACCACCGCGCAAATTCACAGCACGCGGGATACAGTCAGAGTTAGGATAAGGACGGACAGCGCGATCCAAGGCACCAAGGCACCCTTCCCTCTTCGACCCGATATTTGCCACTTCTGCTGGCCAGCCCCTCGCTATGTCCGCGGGGCAGGCCGCGCCCCGCGGCTGCGCCGTGCGACGCCCCTTCGGGCTGAGCCCAAAGGATGCGCGATGGGCAGGGTGCCCTGCGCCACCCGCGAGCACTTCGTCGCTGCATCGCCGTCGAGGGGGGCCGCGTTCTAGGGGATGTGCGATGGGCAGGGCGCTGCGCGTGTTCCGTGCCCTCCAGCTCGCAAGTGGGCGCGGCCCCACTGGTGCGCGATTGGCAGGGTACCCTTGGCCATGGGCCGCCCTTGCCCCCCCCCTTCGACGGGGGGCCGCGGCCCCGGGGATGCGCGGTGAGCCGGGCGCCCGCGCCCCCCCCCCCACCCGCCCACCACCGCCACCGCCACCACCACCACCGCGCCGCCACCACCGCCACCGCGCGCGCATTCCCACGCACACACACACACACACACACACACCACCGCACCATATCACACGCGCACCACACACACACACACACCGTGCGAATGAATGAACGTCGCTAGCAGTAATAGTGCCGCCGCGCCCTGAGTCGGGAGCCGAGGCATCTCGCAATACCGTTGTCGATCTGCCCCCCAAAGCCGCAAAAAAACTAGCCTAGACCACGGTGCGGGGGGCAGCGGGGAGCGGTGATGGCTAGCTTTCTCCGCGAACACTACCGCGAACCGTGGCACTAATACGTGTAGAGCCTGAAATAAACGAACAATTCCAGAACCCAAGACGTCCTACACAATTCAGATACATCCTAATATGTATTATCGGGTTTGACACGGATTCTTTCTGCGGGGTCCTTTTGTGGAGGACAACAATACGACTCCAGTTGTGGAGGCGTGCATTAATATTCTTTTTGCGGCAGGTTACAGTAGGATTCCTTTGGTGGCGGGTTTCAATAGGACGCCTTTCGTGTCTGGTTTCAACGGGATTCCTTGTGCGGAGGATTACAATAGGATTCCGTCGTTGGACGATGGCAGTAGGACTCTTTTTGTGGAGGACTACAGTATGATTCCTTGCGTGGCGGATTTCAACAGGATTCCCTTCGTCCGTTTGTGGAGGCTGACATTCGGATTCCTTGTGTAGAGGATTTCAATAAGATTCCCTGTGGATTGTACAACAAGATTCCTTTTGTGGATGATTACACTGGGGTTCCGTTTTAAGAGGATTGCAATCGGATTCCGTTTGTGGAAGGTTACAACAAGATACCTTCTGCAAAAGAATAAAATTGGATCCCATAACAATGGGATTCCGTTTGTGGACATTCTCGCGCGGGCGCAATTTCCCGGAGATTTCGCCGGAGATTTGGTATACCTGAAGGGGGCTTCCCAGAGATTTCGTCGGAGATTTGGCCGAGATTACTAACCTCGGGAGGGTTGTCTGGAGATTTCGTCGGACATTTCGCCGGAGATTTCCGCTGCCGGAGATCCGAGGGGCCCCCAACACTGCTGCCGGAGATTCTGGAGGAGAATTCTGGGAGAATGCTATGATATTCCTGGGGGAGCGAGAGGTCTCCATTCACCCGATCTAACCCTTGTAGCCGCTGCTCGACCCTGTCACACCCCTTCCCCCTCCTCCCGAAAGGGGGGGGGAACTGAACTCCCGAAACGGAGGGTGGACTCGCGAAAAGGTGGGGGGAACTCCCGGAAAAGGAAAGAGGAACTCCAGAAAAAGGAAGGGAACTCCCGAAAAGGTGCGATACTCCCGAAAGGGGGGGGACTCCCGAAACGGGAGGGAACTCCCAAAAGGGGGAGAACGGCCCCAAACGGGGGGGGGGGACACCCAAAAAGGAGGGGGAACTCCCGAAAAGGAAAGGAGGCGAACTCCCAAAAAGAAGGGGGGAACTCCCGAAAAAGGAAGGGGAACTCCCGAAAAAGACTAAGGGACTCCCGGAAAGGGGAGGTCCCGAACTTGCCTTTCCCCTCCTTCCCCCCTCCGCCCGCCCGCCTCGCCCCCCCCCCCAGGGCGAAGAGCGCCAACAGAAGGGGGACCGGGTGAAGGAAGGGGGGGAATACTGTCTGCAGAGTTCCTTCCTCTGGCACGCGCAAATGCCGCATTCCCCCACTTCGGGGACTCTCCCCTTTTCACTCCTTTCTCTACTCTCCCTTTCCCCCTCCATTATTCCGTCGACCCCGTCCTCCGCCACTCGCTCTATGAACTTCCCTGAAACACATGGAAACGTCCCGCTTGTTCCGGAGTCCTAGACGTTGTTTTACATACAAGTATACACATACACATCAACATGCACATGCACACATACATGCGCATTTGCAAATGCCAGATGCACATGCGTATACGTCGACGTCGAGACACGGACGCGCGCTGGAAACGGGCTGAAATGGGGGAGCGGGAGGCATCGAAGCTGGCGCGCGCTAGAGGCGGCTCGAGGAGGCGGACGGGGGGGGCGGGGGCTGGAGTGGAGACGGAGCGTGGGGACAGGGGGGGGGGGGGCGAGGGGGGGCGGCTCTGGGGGGCGGCCATGGGGGGGCGGAAAGGGGGAAAGGGGGTGCGAGCCGGCTCTGGGGGGCGGACGAGGAGGTTGGACGAGGAGGGGGGCGGGGGGGGGACAAGGGGAAGGGAGGGGGGGGAGAAATACAAGAGAGCCCCCATCCCTTAGCATGGGGATACATGTTGTCAAAAAATGCCAGCGCCGATGCTGAATGGAAGCTCCCGGATTCCCAAGAGCTGCATCCTACGATGGGAGGGGGAAGGGGGGGAGAGAGCATGTTACACATGGAATAAGTTCAATGGAAACAAATTGCATTGGATCCGTTAGTGGATCCATCCAGATTGATGGGGCGATGATGCCTCCTTTGATTTTGAGCTGGCTGTGATGCCCGCTCGTGCCCACCCCGCCCCGTCTTCAGGGACTTCGCATCCCCCTATGATGGTAGGATGGGAAGACGCGCCGCCGCCCCTGGCACTGCACGACCCCCGCAGTCCCATTGATGGACACTGCGAGAAGTGTGAGGCCTCATGGCGGTCCTCAATGGTAACGCCTATGATGGCCCTCACCAGGGCGGAGAGGGCAAGAGTGGACGTCCACCGGCAACGTCCTGGGAGGGATACCTGCAAGAAGGGACAGAGTCAGGAGAAGGACGACGAAGGAGGAGGAGGAGGAGGAGGAGTAGGATAGCGATGACAAAAAAAAACGGCGAGCTCGTGTGACACGGGCTGCTGCTGCTCTCCGAGGTGCTGGCCCACGTCATGGCGCTCGACCCCCTAAGAGCAGGTCGAGGACCCGGCCCCCGAAGACGACGACTATGACGACCCTGATGACGACCCCGTCGCCGTCCCCCTCGTCGTCCTTGCCCTCCTGCCCCTCGAAATAATGCGCCTGGCCGCCCTCGCCCCCCAGCAGCGCGCCCGAGTCCACGGCGCCGTCGACAATGACGTCGGGACGATGGAGAGAGGACGGGAGGAGGACGAGGAGGAAAAGGAGGAGGACGAAGACGACAATGAGAAAGCTGAACCCGATGAGCCAAGTGAGCGCGAAGGCCTGTGATGGTCCTTCTTCCCAAAACGAAGAGCCCTCCTGATGGCCAAAAAATTGAATGCGAGGTGCCTACGATGGCCACTCTGGTTGTCTATGATGGCGGTGCTGTCCGACTGGCAGCGGACTGAGTCCCGTTCGCGGTCCGTTCGGGGAGAGCATGCTCCGCATAGAATACACTCAATGAAAACAAGTTGCAGTGGATCCGTGAGTGGATCCATCCAGACTGATGAGGCGATGATGCCTCTTTTGATTTTGAGCTGGCTGTGATGCCCGCTCGTGCCCACCCCGCCCCGTCTTCAGGGACTTCGCATCCCCCTATGATGGTAGGATGGGAAGACGCGCCGCCGCCCCTGGCACTGCACGTGCGGTGCCAAGCTTGTGGGGACGTGGTTCGACCCCCGCAGTCCCTGTGGTGGAAGCTGCGAGAGGTTTGAGGCCTCATGGCGGTCCTCACTTGTAGCGGATGGGGGAGGAGGGGGCGGAGAGGGAGAAGAGGGCTCAGAACACGCGGGGCCTGGCCGGGGGCTGGCGCAAGCCCCGAATGCTCAGCACCGAGACCCTGGGAGAGAGGCCGTGGACGGAGCACCATCCTAACACGCCACCGAAACATCGATCCTCGAGCCGCTTGTCGCAAGGCTCGGCTCGGCTGCTGGCAAGAGCGACCCTGGGCAAGGGTGAACTGGGGTGCGCGGCTCTCAAGGCGCACTAGCGATCAACCCAGACATCTGGCGCCTCAATTTTTTCGAGACGCGGGCCCCCGACCTCTCGACCACTTCCCCGGGGACCGGCGCTTCATCCCGAGTCGACGTTTGACAGTTCCGAGGCACAGCGAGGGCATACGATGAAGCACTTCTGTCTCGATTTTTTGACACGCAAAATGTCTGGGGACACGTCGTTCATGTCTAATCGTGCTCATTTCTCATTGTGCTCGTTTCTGATTGTTCCTGGCCCCCTAGTGGCCAGGAAGAGGCCCAGGATAGAACAACTAGAATTGAAAGGAACCTGGCCCCCCAAAAAATCAAAGAACTTTCGAAGAAGCAGACATGAACAAGATGTCCGCGTGGCCGATTGGTGGCCCTCGGACCGGCGAGCGGGGCCAGCGGCTCCTGCGGGCCCCCCGCGCACATGGCCACGCCCGCCCGCCGCCGCGCTGGCGCCGCCCAGGCCGGGCCTCCCGGCGCCGGCAGGCCCGCGCGGCGGAGGCGGCGCAGCGGAGGCGGCGGTGGCGGCGACGGCGGCGGCGGGGACGGGGCTCCGAGGCTCCGCGGATCCGCGGGGCGAGGCTCGTGGGCGCTGCTTTGGGCTTCGGGGGCCTCCACAAGGGGCCTCTGGGTGGAGGCGTGCAGGGATGCCCTGGCGGAGGGAGGAGGTATCAGGGAGGAGCCTCCTCCATCCTCAAAGTAATGGACAGACGGAGGAGGAAAAAGGAGGAGGAGGAAAAAGGAGGAGGAGGAGGAGGAGGAGGAGGAGGAGGGTGCTGCCTGGCCGTGGACTGATTTGCCGATCGCAGCGCAAGGGGCAAACAAACCCGCGGGACCACCGACGGCGACGGCGACCTACACGACGACGACGCTCCCGGGCCCCGAGTGTGCCTGTCTCGCCACGCCACTAGCCCATTTCGGTAGCTGTCAAGAGGCCCAGGTCACCTGATTCCACGCCCCGGGCTGCGAGAAGCGCGAGCATCCTCGCGCTCCCGCGCCGGACCCTAGAGAAGCACACCTCCCTGGACGCCCCAATGCAGTTGTTGGGATGATTGATGATGTCAGGGTGCGGCTGGCTGAGGACACGTTCCAGGGGTTCTGCAGTGCCTGGCGGCCTGCGTTTCTGCAGCCCGTGTGGAGCGTCAAGCAAACAAGGGAATCCTGGGACTCCTGGGAAGTCTGGGCACCCGCGAGACTTCGCCATGATGTCTGCGAGGACTGCTCGCAGGAGCGCGTGGGGAAACCACAAGATGGCACGAGAGCACAACGCGGCACGGACCAGGAGCTCGGGACAAGGGGCTGGAAGATGTGGCACACGCCTGTGCAATCCACGTCTGGGAGGAACGTGCTGAGCGGCAGCGCTTTCCGCGGATGCTGAAATTAATGCAACATACCGAAGAGACCAAACTATTTCAGACTCACTACATAATGTTTTGGTTGTCGTTCTGTGGCCCGTCCTTCCCCCCCCAGAGGCCACGCCACTTCCGTAGACCCAAAAGTGGAGGCCCTCTCTGGGCCTCAAAACCTACAACAAACGATAGAAAGTCTATGATTTGGGCCCCTCGGGCCTCTTGAGAGTCTAAGGGGGCATCAAGACGGCTCAAGATGGCCTCAGCAAGGGCCGAGACGGCCCCAACACAGTCCAAGATGGCCCCAAGAGGGCCCACAAAGTTCCCAAGACGCTCCAAGAGGCCCAGGAGGACCCCGAGAGCGCCTCCAGAAGCCAAAATCTGTAAGTTGCCTCAGGTCCTTGGAATATTTCAGCGTTCTCACCTTTTTCGCTTCTCAGAGGCGTATGACGGCCCAAGCAGCCTCCCAAATGGCCCCAAGACGGCCCAAGAAGCCCCTTGAGAGGGCCCCGAGACAGCCCAAGAAGGCCCCTAAGAGGCCCCAAGATGGCCAAAGAGGCCCCAAACACGGCCCAGGAGGGCCGCAAGAGAGCCCCAAGGCGGCCGCGAGAGGCCCACATGCAAGTCTCCGAAGGGGCCAGACGGCGCAAAAACGCCCCACGATGGCTCAAAACGCCCCCCAAAGATTCCAAAGAGGCCACAAAGAGGCTCCCGCCAGGCCCCGCAATGACTGGATTGTACGTGCTCACGATGTGCACCCCGCAAAGCGAGAAGAGTCCGTGTCCGGAAAATGCGTGTTGTTAGAAGCAGGTCCGCGGATGCTGTGATGCAGCGTGTCAGATTCACCCACTTACTTCACAATTGCGAGGTACCCTAACGTAATATAATTGCGATACATGTATGTATCGATGTATGTATGTGAATAGGTAGAGAGAGGTACATCCACAAACACGTACATAAGTACACACATGTATATCTTCATTTATATATAGTGGTACCTCGATCACAATATTATTTCAACCCCATCACATCCCCCCGAGGAGTCGCGCCACATCCGTGGGCCAAAGATGATGAACCCTTTCCGGGGCTCAAGAACTGACCACGACCTACGGAGCATATCTGATTTTGGCCTCTTGGCCCTCCTGGAGGTCCAAGAGGGTCTCATGACGGCTCAAGATGGCCTCAAGATGGGCCAAGATGGCCCCAAAACGGCTCATGGCCCCGAACTGGTCCAGCGCCGCCCCAAGACTTCGCACGGGCCCCGAGAAGAGCACCGCCTTCGCCTCCCTCGCCTCCTCCCCTCCAGCGCTGGCGCACATTCTTCCAGAGCCGTCGCGGCAAGGTCGCGTCCGAACCCTCTCTGGGCCGTGGTTCCTTGCTCAAAGGAATCCGCGTCCGACGCTTCCGCTGCCAGCTCAGTGGGAGCACACCATCCATCCATCCTGCCTCCCTCCCTCCCTTCCTCATCCATCCTACCTCCCTCCCTCCCTTCCGTTCTCCCCCCCCTCCCTCTTCGACGACGTTCGCGCCCTCCCCCCTCCCTGACTCCTCACCCTCCTCCGCACCCCCTCCGCGGAATGGATCCCTCCGCGCCGCGCACTGGAAGGACGAGAGTCAAGAAACGGAGCCCGTTGTTTCGCTCGATGGGGCGAAAGAACTGGCACAAGCGCTTGGCCTCGGAGCTCTTTTCCCAGGGGCCCAGGCGGGGTGGGGCGTGCCCATGGGCCATGGGTCATGGGGGCCCCCTCGGGGCCCCCGATCTTGCCGACGTCGGCGCGCCCCTCCAAACGCCGACCGCAGCATCTCAGCCTGACCTGGCTCGACGCAGAGTTCGGCCGGTGCTGCCGCGTGGACAGCCGCTGTGGGGGGAACCCCTCGGCGCGCTGCTGTGGAAGAGGCGCCCGCACGAAGACGGAAGATTTGCATGCGGACGTGCAGCCCACGGCGGCGCGTCACTACTACAAGGTGTCCTCCCGATCGGTACCCCAGTCAGGCCGAGGGGCACGAGGAGCCGATTCGCCGAATTCGCCGAAGGGGAAGGGCCGAAGGAATGACCCCCGTGAACACCGAGCCTCCTCTGCGCACCTCCCAAGATCCGTTCCAAACTGGTCCCCGGGTCCTTCCCAGGGTCCGTCGTGGCCACTTTTCCGAACCGAACCTGGCCGTGACGACGAGCTCCACAAACGGCCGAAAACCTTCAAGAGGACGGCGTTCGTCGTCCGGGCGCTCCGACCGCATGGGTAAACGCAGGCGCGAGCCCGTCCTTGCAGCCCGCGCTTCGCGCCACGCGGGTTGCGAACCGCGCTCTCCTTCGCGCCCCTGCGCCGTCCACGCTGAGGAGAACACCCCTCCGGACCAGGCCGCGACGCGGGCGCAGCGCGACCACCTTCGCGGCCCCGTGGCTGCCCTGGACTCGGGCAGAGAGCGGCGGCGGCGGCGAGCGGCCGCTGAGCGCTGGGCCATCCCGCCGCGGAGCGACGGCCCACAGGAGCGCCAGGGCGTATGGCGCCCGCATCTCGGGCCAAACTGCCCGTCGCGGGAGGGAGGCGGGCGGGAGCTGGCGCAGGCGTGGGGCCAGCGCGTCCCTCCCCGGAGGAGGCGCTGGCGTCCTGGGAGGGAGGAGGGGTCGTCGCCACGGCGACGCGCGGCTCCAAAAAGCCAGCCGGGATGCCGAGAGAGACCTGCAGCAGAGCTTGGATCTGGAAGGAGCACAAGGATAAACACGCGCTCGCTCCTCCTCCTCCTACTCATCCTCTTCCTCCTCCTCCTCCGCCTCCTCATCCTCCTCATCCTCGTCCTCCTCCTCCTCCCCAACAGCAAAACATAACACACTATGAAAACTAGTCTTCTCTCTTCCATGAATCCGTGCGGAAGATAGCTGGCCCCCTCCGCGTATTGTTAAGGGCGCTCTCGCTCGAGCGCGGGCCACTTATCTGGATATGAGTCCTTTTCCATCGATGTCGCCCCCATCATTTCCCCTACTCCGCCTTCCCCTGGTCCTCCTGCTCATCCCACTCCTTCCACCCCAGTTACTGCCGCTGCTGTTCATCCTTCTCCTCGTCCTTCCTCATCCTCCCCCGTTTCCTCCTGCTCGTCCTCCTGCTCACCCACCACCTCCTCCTCCTCTTCCGCATCCTCCTCACTGCATGGGAGGAGAGGGGTAGTAAGTCAGATATGACGCGAGCGCACCTAGCGTGGCCTTCCCCTCTCCCTCCTCCTCCGCCCCTCCTCCTCCTCCTCAGATCTCCTCCTCGTCTTCCTCCTCCTCCTCCTCCCTCTCCTCATCCTCCTCCTCATCCTCCTCCTCATTCTCCAACTCCTCCTCCTCCTGCTTATCCAACTCATCTTCCTCCTCCTCCTCCTCCCCCTCCTCCTCATCATCCCTCCTCCTCCTCCTCCTCCTCCTTCCTCCTCCACCTCCTCCTCCTCATCCCCCTCCCCCTCCTCCTCCTCCTCCTCCTCCTCCTCCTCCTCCTCTCCTCCTCCTCCTCCTCCTCCTCCTCCTCCCCCTCCTCCTCCTCTTCCCCACTCACCCTCCCCACTGGCAGGGGGGGAATCAGCAGGGCAGGGACGTGCGGAGGGCACTTCGCGCGACCACACGCGCGGCTTCGTCCCCCCGCGCGCCCTTCGGTCCTCGCTGCTCGGTGGAGCAGCGCCGACGAAGGGCCTGCGCCGAGCGGCGGCTTTGCGCGGGCTGTTCTGAGGACGGCGGCCTTGTTCCTCCTCCTCCTCCTCCCCCCCCCTCCTCCTCCTCCACCTCGTTCCCTCCTCTCCTCCTCCTCCTCCTCTCCTCCCTCCTCCTCCTCCTCCTCCTCCTCCTCCTCTTCCTCCTCCTCCTCCTCCTCCACCTCCTTCCATCCTCATCCTCCTCTTCCTCCTCCTCCTCCCTCCTCCTCCTCCTCCTCTCCTCTCCTCCTCCTCCTCTCCTCCTCCTCCCTCCTCCTCCTCCTCCTCCTCCTCCTCCCTCCTCCTCCTCCTCCTCGTCCGTTTCCATTACTGCCTGGCTCCCCCCATCGTTTCCCCCCGCCTCCTCCTCCTCCTCCTCCTCGGATTCAGCCTCCTCGTCATCCCTCCTCGTCCTCCTGCCTCCTCTCTTCTCCTATGCCCCATCTCCTCGTCCT